ACAGCAAGATACTATTCATCCAATTGGCGAACATGGGCAGCTGTGAACATACAACTTGCCTGGCGGCGTTACAGAATGAGAACTAGAGGTTCAATGATTTCTGTTACAGGAAATGGAAACAGCAGCGACCGGCGGTTGCTACAATATGCTGCAATGTTCATGTCAATCAGGCCACATGACCATCTAGAATAAAAGCAGCTGCTGCGATACTTTGGTCATGCTGTACTGTCGTCTAATAAAGTCTTATTTCTCTTGGCAAAATATCACCGTGGAAATCATGGGACATGGTACTTGTATAATAAGAGAATTGGAACTTCATTTTTCGGAAAATAAAAAAACAGTCAAAATTTTTCTGAAATTTTGTCTATATATTATAATTCATACAAATTTAGTTCTCGTATTATTTTGATTTGATAATTTTAATCCAATATATATGTAAAATACATCGCATCCATCATTTTATTAGGATAATAAAAATAAGCCCATACATTTAACCTTCGCATGCTGTTAGATAAAAACAATTGGAATTTTCAAGTTTAAACGATCCAACGATAATGAAAATAGTACATCATTCTTCGTTCTCCTGACCTATAAAAGAAAAAAAGAGCATCTCTTCATATTGCACAACTTTCTCATATGCTCCAATCTAGACTGGAAAGAAGGCTTCCTCTAATTCCATCACTAGTTCACCCTTTCAACTTCTAACAATCTAGGGTGGACATATTTGCCAGAGCGAAATGTCTCGTACAAATAAAAGAATACCATTTTTCCATCAACTGACTCATGCCCTTCAAAGTGTGCCATTTTCTTTCTTTTTTCTCAAGCATCATATTCCTTTTATCAGTGATGGTAGTCTTATAGCCTAAGCCCCATCTCTCTTTGTTCTCAATCATGCTTGATGTCTTACTGATTCCCTGTAAAGCTCTTTCCAAACCTTGTTCTACTTACCTACCTTTGCCAATAGTCAACTTGATCACCATATCTGTAGTTTTTAATAATTGAGAAACTAGTGTCTTCAACCCTTCTATGACATAAATAACATTTGCTATTTCAAAAGCTCTAAATGAGCATTCGATTGCCTCTTCAGTAGCCTCGACATAAAGAGTAGTCAAGGTTTTGGTTACTAATAAGTCTTCCTCACCATCTAGACAAACTTGCTTCCCTTTAACAATAAATTTTATCTTCCAGTGTAAAGATGAATGTATAGCTCTAGTTGTATGAATCTAAGGTCTTTTGAATAGCTACATGTAGGTGTTATATCCATCACCTAAAATGAGACATTGAAGGTACATGAACCAATCTACAATAGAATCTCTATATCATCAATCACTCTCTTTGTGCTTTGTTAAAAGCCTATACTACCATGTGGCCGTTTCTCATGTAGAAAGGGTCTATTGGGAGCTTTGACAATGTAGTTATAGGCATGATATTAATAGATGACCCGTTATCAATTAACACTTTGGCCATGGTGTGAATTTTGCACTTGGTAGTAATATGCTGGGCCTTAACACTACCTCATGCCTCTGAGGATATTTCATCATCATTAAAAGTAATGAAGTTACGGACTCTAATATTCATAATCATGCGACCTACTTTCTCAATAAAAATATTGTGTTCAACATAAGCTTGATTAAGCTTTTTCAACAAAGCATTCCTATATGATTCTAAGCTTAACAATAATGACAATAAAGAAATATGAGCTAGTAACTTGTTCAACTAGTTAACCACATTGTACTCGTTGTGCTTAATGATCTTTAAGAACTCATAGTCTTTTTTCTCTAATACTAACTACTTAATCTGTACTTTTAGGCTTACTACCAACTGAATACCTTGACTTTTCTTTGTATTTTCTACTTCTACCTTACCTTTCCCTTTTTTGGCCCTTTTTGACATCTTGGGAGTGTGACATCGACCATTCCAAGTTATTTCTCTTATGCCTGTTATGTTTGCAGTATTGACTATACTTGGATTGCTCGAAGTTATGTCGGTCTTCGAGCTATGACATCATAGTCATACTTCTACAGGACTATTTTATCATTTTGGTAAGAGAATGGACTAAGAGTATAAATAGTCATTACCGTATTAGAAAAAAGAGATAATTTTCTTAGTTGCAAGCTTCAGTTTCTTATTATAGAATACTGTTAAAGTTTTAGGGATAAAAAACTTGCTAGAGGACTCATCATCCATCATATTCACACTACTCTTATCATACTTATCATAAAACTCTATTACAGCCATGTCCATCAAACTTTGCAATATTTGCAAAAAAACTTAACATCTTTGGATCGAATGTTTAACCATTCCTCCATGGTATTTGCAAACTTAGTCATGGTCTTTACAGTTTTTGTTGTCATTCAGAGATATTGGTTGAATCATGCTTGCCTTAATCAAACAGTCATACACCTGTCAAAATGGGTCCTCACTTTGTCCATGTATCTTTTAATCCTTACATTTTTCCATTACCCACAACATTAATCTTCCTTTAAGTATGGTTTGGCAAAGGGTTTCCACTAATACTTGGCTTGAATTTATTGTTAAAAGTTAAAAGCTCCTCTTTTATTAGACCTTGCACCTTATGCTTATGTGTTTGCAGTTTTTAGTGGAATGTCCTATCACACCAAAAGGGTATTCGCACTTGGCATTGGGGTCATACCAACTCGAGTATGGTGACTTTAATGGTACCACACGGATAAGAGAAATAAGATGGTCTCTCATCAACTAGGAGTACAAATTAATGTAAGACATTGGAATTGTGTCAAATTGAGGTTTTTCTCGATTGTTATTGTTTTATGGGTTTCATTGATTATTGGTTCGATGGGTTTGTAGGTCAAATGATTGAGTTAGGGGTATAAGGGTATAATTAGGTGGTTGAAGACTAAAGCTCAACCTATGTGGTGGTTGTTGGGATGCTTGGTAATAATATGGCTACTGGGAGATTTGGTTGATAGTAAGGCAACAAAAAAAGTATAGTGGACTTGAATTATATGGGACGAAAGAATAGCCTGGTGGAGATTTCGAAAGTGGCTGTGTATGTCTCATGCTCTTTTTTCTTTGGATTTGTTGTCTTCTTTTTGGGCCTTTCGATTTTGCTATTATTAATGGCATTCTCATTATTTCTTCCAAAATCACTATGTTAGAAAAGTTTTTTATTGTATTTCTAACCAATTTGTCATAGTATGGGACTTTTAGTGTGTTAACAAATAGCATAGTGATCTCTTTTTTAGTTAGTAATATTGGACCTAGTTGCTGCATCCTCCACTGATGAGTATATTCCTTAAAGGATTCTGTTGGCTTTTTCTCCATATTTTGCATATATATTTTTCTAATAAAATTTAAAACCATTTAATTTATCTTAATAAAAATGACTTAGTCTTTTCAATTGAATTTGGACATCTATTGGGCTTTGGAACCTTTAGTCCAACTCATTTAATCATAATTCAAAATTGTTTCAAGCCCACATAAAATAAAACCCATCAAAGCCCAACATGAAATAGGTTTGATCAAAGTGTCAAAATGGGCTCAAATTTAAACATGCAACCAAGCTAAAAATTTAATTGAAATTTAATCCTACCGAACAAATTGGGTGTCTATACTTATCTTATAGTTGTTACAATCGACAAACCTACAACCTAGGTTAGTGTCAATCCATGATGTTCTAATTCATGCTTATTGACCACAATAACAAACAGGTAACAAGCCCATATGTTTCATATGACAAATCCTAGCTCGTACTTTTCAACCTTTAACTCCTCCTTAACCCTCAGTTCCTTCCTTTCAACTTCTAGCTCTTCTCTTTCAAACTTCTTTTTTTTTTTCGTTAAGACCTAAAAATAGATCTCCTTTTTTGATCCCCTTTGGTCCTCTCTTTTGATCCTTTTTTCTCTTTAAGACCCGAAATAATTCTTTTACAATTTTTAGGGAACGTTTAGGGTTTCTTTTGTTTTTAATTTCACATGTTTTAACTACATTCATCTTCTTTTGAAATCTTTAAAATTTTTTGCATAATATTTAAAGATTATGTGTCATGTTACATTAGATTTTTTATTAATTTAGATAGTCTAACAACGAAGGAATTACATTTGTATATATTTGGATAATCGATGATTCATATAAAATTTTTTAAAGTTTAGAAACCAAAATAAAATTTAACTCAAAGTTTAAAAACAACAGATGTTATTTATTTATTTATTTTTAAAGAAGGTAAAAGAAGGATAAAAAAGGAAATGTGAAAAAGAGAAATTTTGATATAGGTGAGTCTCACATAAAAAAATAAAATCTTTAAAAAAATTATTTATTTTATTGGTTATATTTAGGAAAAGTAAATAAATATTAAAGAACAAAAAATCGAAAATGCAAAAAAAAAAAAGAATTAAATATTTATCAAATCTTTAAAAAATTATAAAATTTCAAAAAAAATTTAAAACAATTTAAAATTTTTAAAAAATTAAAACAAAAAAAAGGATGCGCGACTTGGCACGGAAGCACTACATGAGTGGGCTTTCTAGTATGGATGAATGTTGCTATGTTCTAAATAAAACGCAAGGTACATATTTCTGAGTTTTCAAAGTATTATTTTGCTTCAAATTATCAGTAAGGGAAAGCAAAAAAATTTCAGAAATCCACACTTATTGATCTTAAAACTCTTTATTTATAGAACAAAGATTCTGACAAACCCTAGTTTAGGATGGTAATTTCTCTGTACATTTATTATAATATCTTTACATCGATGATAATTTTTCTGTTCATTTCTCCTTTGTTATCCATTGATCCTCATCCTGACAGTACATTCTGCTAATCTTTTCTGAGTTCTGACTTAGTAGTAGCCTCTGGTGTCAATAAAGTATGCTAAGTTCAAATAAATCATTCAGAACTGTAAAGTCTTACAATGTTCCCCAACGTTAGGATAACATCAAATTCCTGAATCTAAATTTCTTTTATCATAAATAAATTACAACATCAACAACCAGAAGAGAGCAAATTAGGAATCTGCAACATTATCCTCACTCAAACCAGAAAATTTCAGAGAGCCACACTTTATTGATATTAAAAATCTTTATTTATAGCACAAAGATTCTGATAAACCCAAGTTTAGATGTTAAGTTTCTCTGTACATTTATGACAATATCTTTACATTGATGATAATTTTTCTGTTCATTTCTCCTTTCTTATCCATTGATCCTCATCCTGGCAGCTTGATCTTTGATCCTCCCACATGTCTAACTCATGAGAGTACAGTGCTCTCAACTTTCATTCATACTCCATGGATCATTTCCTGTGCATCTGTTAAACCTGAGGAAGGTTACCCAGGATGCAAAAGCCTTCACCAACCAAAATCTAAGACAAAAACAAGGATTAGAAAGACGAGGAAATTGATGTAGTTTCAAGATAACTTCTAAAGAAAACAAACTACCAAGAGACCAAAAGGAATATAAGTACTTCAAGATAATATGAAAATTAGCTGAAATGATACCTTTCCCTTTAATGGGAAGAAACTATATTTTCTCGTAAATGGACAAAAATATATCTCAAATCAAATTGGGAAACCCATTCTGAACGCCTCTAGGCCATGTTCGAAAAGGGAAAACAGGAAGTGGAAGATTCTCAATTCTTGGTTGTTAAATGCTAAATGGTTTAGTACATATGCATAGCATTATTCAAGTCTGTGAATAGGCAAGAAAAATGCAGCAAAGATGCAAATCTGTTTAATAATCTACAGTGCTAATTGGTAAGTAACAGTAATATATGAAACTTTTCAGGAAAAAAAATAAAAGAAAATATAACCAGACTTGAAACATTTTCACCTGTATTATCTGCTTGATCAAGCATTTGATTTCTTCCTTTGACCGAAACAAGGCTATTCACATATACAAGAGTTGAGAATGACTTTGGAACCCCATAGATTGGAAGATCCTTGAGCTCTTTGTCCTTAAGGTTGTAAAACACCACCTGTCCATCAGAGCCTTCCATGAGAATCTCATCATTTTTCCAAAATACCAAAGGCATTTCCACTCTTGTAAGAGGTCCAATTGTCAATATTTTTGTCCAAGATTCCCTCACTCCATATTCCTTCATCACACATATCTCAAATGTTTTTTCAATCCCCTTTCCTGGATAGATTACTAGAGAAATGTATCCATTCCACACCAAAAGACTCCTACACATTGAATAATCATAAATGGATAGAAAACTTGGCATTGATATTACTTGGAACTCCTCATTTCCCATGTGGAATGAAAGGATGACTTCATTTCTGTTATCGTCTATAGCATACCAATGAAATGCTCCATTAAAGTATGTTTCAAAACATGGAGAATACCAGACATAGGCAGGGACCTTAACATTGATTTCTTTCCAAGAACCAGTTCCCAAAGAGTATACTTCAACCCTGGAAAGGTGGGGTAAGCCACTCCCATTTATCTCCTCCCAATATGAAACAATCCTAACAACTTTGCAGTGATGACTTTTTTCATCATAACCAAATCCCAAGGCACTGGTTTGCGGGATCAAATTTGGGATTGATGGATAACAAGGGAGACAAGACTGGGGCAGCACCATGGACTCCCTAGTTGCAGGGTTACATAGAACTATATCATCTCGGTAATTTGATAGGCAAATAATGCCATCACAATGACCTAAAAGCTCTAAACATGGCTCCTTCTTGTACAAGGACAAATCAACATCTAAATTTACAAAAGAAAACCCATCGCAGCAGACCAATGACAACATATTTTCTTTCTCTCCTAAGCATGTCAGAAGGCAGCGCTTGAGAAGGACACATACATTGTTGCTGCTGTTGTACTTAAGGTGCAATTCAATGAATTTATGATTGCTAATCAGAGCGTACCAGTATTTGCAAACACACTTGCATCGCATCAAAGATTCTACCGGCAGCCGTAAGAGGATTTCAAGGAACAATTCTCTTGGCAGATCACCAATGCCCTCCATACTAGGCTCTTCTTATTCTTCTCCTTTCCTACAGTCAATAACTAGAGAAGCCAAACCCTGCATATGAACATAGTTATAAAAAAACCCATGGTTGTTGCCCCGAACAATATACCTGCATCAATAACTACCCGCCATAAATCTTGGAAAGCTTTGATATACGGGCTAAGTATATTAATATTTGTGTGACAGTACTCTTACCAAATTTTATCCTTGCTTTCTTTTCTCTAAAGTTATTACCATCAATTTTGAAAATGATGATAGTGTTAGAATTGTCTTTTTTTCCCCAATAACATGCCCCATTAAAGCAAGTTTTGAAACATGGAGGATACCAGACATAGCAATTCATCAGATGCTGGATTTTTCTATTGATAGAGTTGGTTCAGAAGTTTTATGGTGAGTTTCTTATGGATACCTCAAGCATGCATATTTCTGCAAAGAATGTAAACAGAGAAACAGAGAGAAATGCTTTTAATTACATCTTCTGTCTATCAATCTAATAGAAGGGCACATGTTAGAACAGAGAAACCTTTGATTGTTTTTCTTAGGCATTTTTATGAAACCTAATCTTCCTGCACTTATGCTATCTAAATTTTATAGTTAGGCACAAAGTGAGCTCGCTTGAAAGAAGTTTTTGTTAGTGCTTACTACTTTACTCTTAATTTCTTAGCTTAACACACTGTTGTCGAAAAAGGCAGCCATTATTCTTGAAAAGAACATGTTACGAATGTTTCAAGAGGTATGTTATGTAATTAATATTATTTATCATTGCTTATAACATCATTTCCCTGGAAAAGTATGCACAAATTTTCATTCATATGATTCTCGGAACTTTTTGACTTAATATTTAGAAATGATATTCCTATGTAGGTGATCCGAAAATAAATGAACCGAAAACTTATTATCTTTGCAAAATTGAAACTCAATGACACAGTGCAAGAAAAATCTGGTCATAAGAACAAAATATCACGTTTCAATAAAATTCTTTGAATTGGGAAAAAGCTGATGATAAAATAATTTAAATCCCTATGTATGATGGAATAAACATTCTAAAGTACTCATATATGTAAGGAAAGCATTTGCAAGCTTTCTCTACCAAAAACAATATGATACTTTTCCCAACAAAGTTGAATGTCATTTCCTACTATGTTTTTCCGAATGGTCCTAGATAAATTGAATAAATTTGTCAATGACAAAAGGAACTCAATAAGATTTGGATGAAGACACCTGATCTAAAAAGCACAACAAGATATAGGCACACATCAGTTGGCCCTACTAGTTTCTTTTTGGTACATAGGATACCACAGCCTAGAAATAGGGAAAAAGATTGCAAGTGCTGGATTCAACCTCCAGCCTGTTGGATGCTGTTTGCATGAAACGAGTTAAGTACTCAACTTCATGGACACTTAGGCTTCTGCAAAATGATATGTACTATTCAATCCCTTTAACTAGGCAGTGAAATTGATTTCAATACCAAATCTATTTAACAAACTACCAAGCTAAACAATAGAACAACCAGGGGCTCTTAGCCATATTTACCTGCATTATCTCCTTCAAGCATTCGATTCCCTCCTTTGACTGAAACAAGGCTATCCATATAAACAAAAACTGTGCACAATTTTCTGAACCAGGAACTGGAAGGTTGTTAGTTTTTTGCATGCTAGGATTGTAGGACACAACACCTCCACCACTGCCTTCTCCAAGAATATTATCATTTTCCCAAAATGTCAAAGGAAAATCAACAAACCCCACAATCCTTAATCTACTCATACAGTAAATTATATATATATATATATATATCCAAAAGTTTTTGGTCACTCGTGTTCAACGCATGTCAAAAGTATTCAAATTGCCTCCCTTCCTAATCTTTCTTGCGAATGATAAATAAGTAAAATTAATATTTAATATAATATGTCAAACAAACATAAGATACTTGCAAGAACATACATATAATATAATACAAAAACGATATAAAAAAAGACACAAAAGAGAAACAATTTAAAATTTTAAGAAAAAAACTGTACATGAGTTTATCAAAAATTAAAAAATGTGTTTCGTCTTGGGCGTGTCAACACGAATTGTGATACGACAATTTTCATAACACTTATTTGATACGAAATATACAAACTCGAATACACAAATGCCCATGTCTATATAAGAGTAATATATAAATAGGTATCCTGGACTATTTTAGCACAAGGGCTTCTATGCTTTCTTATTATGGTTTTTTTTTTCCGATTTCTTTGTAGTTGTAGGCTGTGATTGCTCAAATAGTCATTTTTTCTAGGCTTCTCGTCTTTTGTGGACTGGTTTCCTTGATGAGTATCAGTCATGCTCATGCTTCACTCAAAACTTAGACTGCTGGATATGATCATAAAATGCTAGTTCTGTTGTTTCTAAAGGTTGGGTGATGGTGCACTGCAGTTGGTGGTTGGTTCTGGAAAGCATGGAGAACTATGAATAGCGGTTTGAGAAACTGGGTTTTCATCAAATTACAACTTACATTCACAAAAGCTCCATTATAAAGCTTTGTAAATGTGAAGATGACTGGATTCAAGTGGTTTATCCTGCACTCGACTCCATGACAACTATCATATAAGTTTCCGTATGCATCAATATACTGTCCATTCCTAAAAATTTTATCCATGATGTACTATCTTGTTATATAATATGTGAATTTTCAACAAATTGCCCTTATAAAATAACTGACATAGCATTCATGTTTGAGTGACTAATGCATAATTATGTGTATTTTGTAAAATGGTGTGGGATAATAAAAAAATGCAGTAATTTAAAGATTCATGGTTCCCAACCTACCTCCAAATACCTTTACTCTATACCAATAAGCGAGCTCAGTGCCCAATTGTCTTCATCAAAATGAGTTAATCCTCCAAAGTAGAACAGTTCAATCATCCTGTCACCTATGCTCTACTACTGCTAACTATCCCAAATTAACCATAAAAAAATAGGTTATTTCTTTCAACATCAAAGTTTTTCATTGTTAACCCCTTGTGTCAATATCAAGCTAACTAGATAATTAGGATAGCTTTGGATGCGTGGTGGGAGTCCTACCACACGTTTAAATGAAACTTTAAAAAAATAATATTCTATTAACTTCAAACTTGGTGTTTTTTAATAAACATCAAGGATTTAGATTTTGCATATTCCTAATTTTCAAATCCTTAGTAAAGCTAGGATCCTCGTTAATTAATTTATTGAAAAAAAAACCCCCCAAAATGCTGATCTTATCAATCCAGCAACTCCTAAGAAAGAAGCTTAATAAAAAGCACAAATAAATTTAAGCGACATGAAGTAGTCACCCACTAAATCACTTGGATATCACTGGCCAAAGAAAATTACTTGGATATCCTTATGTCCTATTATTGCTCCATATGCCTCCCAAGGATGACATGTGTTCCAATGTCATCATCATATTTTCCTAGTATTTTCCAGCAAAGAACTAAAAAAATATATAAATCCTACTTTTGTCCAAACACAGCTCTATTTACCAAACTGCCATCGATATTGAAAATTCACCGAAATACCCTTGACAGAATCTCAAATTTTCAAAAACTACCCTTTCCTACCGAATGAAGATGATAGCTAATTTTCCCAGCATAAAACTATTTTCTTTTCTTTTTCCAACAAATATAATCATACAGACATACACAAGGAAACTTTGTGTTTTTGTTCTGACAATTATTCAAACGATAAACCCTTTCAAGTATTTGGATATTCATGAAGAAAAATTCAATAAACAAACAGGTTTTATAAAATTAAAATCAATGAAATTATACCTTAATTTGGCTCCAATAGCATCAAGGATAATTGGGTTTCACGGACTCTGTTTGCTAAAGTTGTTGAGGCCGAAAAAGGACTTGATAGTTTCACACTTATTCACGCTTTTTTTACTAAAGAAGGAGAACCCAAAATAAAAGGAAAGAAAGGAAATTATTATGAAGGAAAAGATGATGACATGAAAAAAAAAAAAAAAAAAACCGAGAAGAAGGAAAAGAAAAGGGAATATGAGAGGTGGGGAGTGAAGGGATGATGGTTTTCACTCATGGTTTTTGGTTTGCCATCAGCACATCATCATCCAAATATATTCATGGAATTGAAAGGAGGAAATGAAAATGCTACAGATCATTGCCTTTGAAAAGGAAAGGTTTGTCAAATGTACTACTAGATTCTTTTACCAGATTGGTACTTCTTCTGAATTATTATTATTACTTATATAATCTGAATAAAAGACTGTTACAATATGTTTGGAAGTATCTTTAATTTTACAATTTAGTGAGTAGTGTTTTTAATTCTTTTTCTACGCATTGAAATCTGAATGATAGGATTTTGAAAGTGTGAAAAAAAGTATAGCACTAAGTAATTTTATTCTTTTTTATTAGTATTTGTTGTCTAAAAAAAGTAGAGCACTTTTTCTTTTGTTTGATACATGTTAAAAAGTTTTTTTTTTTTAAGAAATTCAAATAACTTTGAATGGTTTTTTTTTTTTTTTATGATAAAGGTCAGTGTATTTTTATATTTTGTTTGAATTTAATCTGTTTTTTAAGTCATTTTTAAATCGTATTTCTTCACTTCAGTTTAATAAATTTAGAATTTTATTTTTGAAAGATTTCTATAAAATTAATAAATTTTTCATTTTTTTTTTTAGCTTTCGAAGAAAAAAAAGAAATTCCTGAATTTTCTTTTCCCTTACAAAAGTATTAATCTATATGCTTATTAATTTTCTTTTGATTAAGACTTGGTACAATATTATACTCAATACGTAAAATCTAATTGATTTTCACTAACATTTTTTTGGATTTCTTTAACACTTGGTAACTTTAAACTATTTTGAAGGACTTTTTTATCAGCAGTAAATGAAATAGATAAAAAAAAAATTTCCAAGCCTAACTAGTAATTTCCTCTTTCTTATTATTATTATTATTATTTTGTACTGTCTAATATGCGGAATCATGATGTATTTTTGTTGTTTTCTAGGGATGGTGTTTGTTTTTTTGCAGGTACTAAGGTTGTTTTTTGACTTTGGAAGTTTCTGTTTGTTAACGTTGCCTTAGCGTATATCTTGTTGGAACATTGTATTTCATTTTTAATATTTTATTTCTTTATATATATATATTCGGCTAGAGGAGAACAAAGCATAGTGAAATGAACACTTTTTAAAGGGAATGATGATTTTTTTTTTTTTGAATAAAGCAAAGAGGAATGATGATATTTATACACTCATTCTCTCTTTTAGTCATTCAGGGAAATCAATTGGACCACTTATTTATTTATTTATTTTAATTCATATATATAGATAAGCTACACTTAGATGATAAAATCAAATTGCAATTTGTCAAATATAACATCACACCCCTTCTTGAAGCAAGAGATTCTTTTTGCTTGAAACATGGAAATTGGATAAGGCATGGCAGCTTGGCAAATGATAAGTTTTGAAAATACTACCTAACCTCATCCTGAGTTTATAATAAAATATATTTTTTTTAATTTATTGTTTTTATATTTATATTATTCATTATACGTATAGGTTATTTATATTTATAGTGTATCTTTTTAAAAATAAAATACTGTTTGAAAATTAAAAAAATTATAATTATTAAACTTTAAATATCAAATTTATTAAATATTATATTTTAAAAATTATTATATGAATTATTCGACATAGGTATCGGGTTCCTAAAATGCATTTTTTAAATTGTTAAAAAAATTATATTGAAATAGAACTTAAAATATTTATGATAATATTATAAAAAGAATATTATTAATAAAAAAAGATGCAAATTTATCTTTTATTTTCTTTGATTATTAAGGTTTTTTTTTTTTTAGGTAGTTATCCATTTGTGCGGCACACGGTTTATTAATAGCTAGTAGTATTTCGAATTATCTCTATTTTTTTAGTAGCAGAAATCAATAACTATATGCGATATAAAAATAAAAATAAAATTCCTATATGCGATAATGCATATCACCTCAATAATGGAAAACCTTATCCTAGCCGCTAAGAATCCACAAATTTTGAAAAAAAATGACACTTCTCCCTCAAATGGACAATTAGACTAAAAAATTGACATTAAAAAAATTAAGGAGAAAAAGAACAAAACAAGAGGTGATTGGAAGGGAAAAATGATTTACTATCATTTATCTGAAACTATACAACATTTTTTATTTTAGTACAAATTAATAAAAAAACTATTTGATACATTGTATATGTAATTTTTTTTAATTTTAAGAACGAAATTAAAAATTTAATACATATTTCATTTTGTTTAAAATTAATTTTTTAATATATTTTAAAATTATGTATCACCTTATTAATTAATTAAAAATCTAAAAATTTTATTATTAATGTATTTAATAATTTCTCAGTCTGATTAATCTTAATTATAATCTACAAATTTAGAAGATGGGAAACCAAAATATGATAAATTTTTTATATGTATAAATTATCCCTTTCTTCAAGCATTGATTCCCCTAACAAGGCTCATGTTTACATTAGCAGCAGTTTGAAAAGATTTTGGAACCCCATAAATTTGAAGATTCTTGATTTCTTTTGTGATGAAGTTGTAGAATACTGCCTGTCCATCAATTCCTTCCATCAGAATTTCACGATCATTTTTCCAGAGCATCAATGGCATTTCAACTCCTGTAAGAGTTCAAATAGTTAATTTTCTAGCGGAAGATCCCTTCACCCCATGTTTTTCAATTCTTTTTTTCAGGATAGATTATCAAAGCAAGGCAAACATTCCAAACCAGGAGACTCCTGCGGATGGAATTGTTATAAATGGAAAGAAAATCTGGCAAATGTTGAATGAAAAAAAATATTACTTCATTATTGTTATAGTCCATAAAGTGGCAATGAAATACTCTATTAAAGTAAGTCTTAAAACAGGGAGAGACTTGGACATTTGCAGGGACCTTAACATTCTTGATTTCTCCCCAAGAATCAGTTCTTCCACCCTGGAAAGTTGGGGTAAGCTGTGCCACCTAACTCCTTCCAATATGACACAATCCTGACCACCTTGCCTTACTGATTTTCGAGGTCATAATCAAATATCAGGGCATTGGTTTGGTGAATCAAATACAGGCTCAAAGGGCTAACGAGGTCTTGGTTTAATGTAAGAGGAAACCCTAGAACCTTAAAGGTTTTAGGCAGGAATTCAAATTGCGGTTGGGGATACATTTTCGGTCACGTCGCGATTGCGTATATAACGGAAATTATTACGGTCATCAAAGTCGTGATTTTTTTTTAATTTTTTACAATTTACTATAAAATGTAGTAAATATAATTACAATAATAAAAATTAGTACTTATAATTTTTAAAGTAATTTATGATATTTTAATTTTTATTTATAAATTAAAATAATTTTTTCATGTTTTGTAGTTATGATTCAGAATGAAAATACATATTATAAATGTTTTTTTTATTATACTTATGAAGTTCAAAGACATAAATATTATAAATACATATGATAGAAAAAATATATCTTATATGAAGTTAATAAAGATTATAATTAATTTAATTAAAAAATTAGTGTTGAATATCTAAAAGAAAGAAGGCGAACTGACGATCTTCCCACTGAAAGAAGTGGAATAAGCAAGCAAAAAACCCAACAAGTGATTCTCCTTGACCCGACAAAAAAAAAAAAGGAACAACCAGGTAATTCTCCTTGACTCGACAAAAAAAGAAAGGAACGAACGAGCTTCGCACCGGGCACAGCTTGACCCGACAAAAAAGAAATGAACGAACGGGTTTCGCATCGAGCACAGCTTCCCATTTCAAGAAACAAGAAGAAATGAAGAGGGAGGTTCGAGCTTTTCCACGAGCCCATGCCAAATTCTCTCTGAAATTCAGAATGAAAAAAAAGACCTACTTATTGGGGCTAGGAAGCACCCCGTCCGGCCGAAATTGATCGGCTGCAATGGTTGCTCGCGGCCATTATGATTGTAAATTTCATTCACAACCCAATTTCGGGTATGTAGCGGTGGCGGAGACTATCGAAATCGTAAAATAACTGCCGCAATGCCGCTACACAACCACTATTTGAAATCTTGGTTTTAGGTTCAAATCTTGTCGTATAAGTTTGATTTTTTAATTAAATTATAATTTATTAATTAATTATTTAGTGATATAATAATTGATTATTTAATTAAATATATTAATGTAATACTTAATTATGAGTGTAATTTAAAAAAAATATAGATTCGAAAGAAAACAAAAGAGACAAAATTTAAAAAGATCTATGGATGTTTCTACTGCGGAATTACATAGAACTATGTCATCCCTATAATTTGATAGACAAATAATGCCATCACAATGACCCAAAACTTGTAAATATGGCTCTTTCTAATACAAAAAACATATTTTCTTTCTTTCCTAAGCATGTTAATAGGCAACGCTTGATTTATAAGAACAAATCAAATATGTTGTAGCTGTTATAATTTTTTTCTTTTTTGGCCAAAATTAGCTGTTATAGTTAAGGTGCATGGACATGAATTTAAGATTGTTAACGAGAGCATACCATGATTTGCATACGCACTTGAATAGCGTCAAAGATTCTACTGGCAACCGGAGAAAGATTTCAAGGAACAAGTATCTTGGCTGATTACCTGCATAGTAGCTCCTTCCCCCTTAGTTATTCTTCTCCTTTTTTCTATAATCAAATATCAAAACCCCGAATCCAAAGCATAACTATCACCTTTAAAAAATAATATCTAGTAAATTTTGAGTTTAAATTGTAACTCCTATAACTCTTTTTCCTATCCCAAGGTACCACATTCATTGTATGAAAAAATAATAAAACCTCGCATTTTATTATCTTATCGTTACCAATAATTTCAAAGAAATCAATGTATCACTTGCATCAATATCTCTTATATTATCTACTTGTGTGGTAGAGAAAAACAAGCAAGGAGTTCTGTTACTAAATATTATTCCTAATTCTTTCCTTTACCAACTTTTACCATTAATTTGTCATCATTTTTTTTTTAAACCGGAAGTACTAGTTGCAATAAAATTTTTACAGGCAATCCTGACATAGAATACTATAATATCACCAAATCATCCAATTTCAGTCTAGAATCTGGGACTAACATTAATGTGGGGTTTGGTTACTATGTACATTTGAGAGGATTCTAGTCTTCTGGACGAGTTTTATTCTTGCTGCTTACTTGCAAAGTTGTGGCATATACCTTAAGCACTGATTCTTGAAGAAAGAATAAGGAAAATGTTGTTTCATTGGAATGTATTATATTCTTTTCTTTTCTTTTCTTTTTTCTAAACACACTTCAATGATCATATAAAATTATTCTGATGCTAAACTTTTGTAATTGG